GACCCCAGGGTAGGGGACTTCGATGTCCCCGAGCCCGATGTTTATTCGTATAGTATTATATAGTAGGGCTAAAAACTAGAGGACCATATCTCGGAAACTAGAGATGGTACCATCACCATTTTTTCATAGAAGTGGTATCTTGCCCCTAGTACCCCACCCCCAAAATTTCAGACCCCAGGGTAGGGGACTTCGATGTCCCCGAGCCCGATGTTTATTCGTATAGTATTATATAGTAGGGCTAAAAACTAGAGGACCATATCTCGGAAACTAGAGATGGTACCATCACCATTTTTTCATAGAAGTGGTATCTTGCCCCTAGTACCCCACCCCCAAAATTTCAGACCCCAGGGTAGGGGACTTCGATGTCCCCGAGCCCGATGTTTATTCGTATAGTATTATATAGTAGGGCTAAAAACTAGAGGACCATATCTCGGAAACTAGAGATGGTACCATCACCATTTTTTCATAGAAGTGGTATCTTGCCCCTAGTACCCCACCCCCAAAATTTCAGACCCCAGGGTAGGGGACTTCGATGTCCCCGAGCCCGATGTTTATTCGTATAGTATTATATAGTAGGGCTAAAAACTAGAGGACCATATCTCGGAAACTAGAGATGGTACCATCACCATTTTTTCATAGAAGTGGTATCTTGCCCCTAGTACCCCACCCCCAAAATTTCAGACCCCAGGGTAGGGGACTTCGATGTCCCCGAGCCCGATGTTTATTCGTATAGTATTATATAGTAGGGCTAAAAACTAGAGGACCATATCTCGGAAACTAGAGATGGTACCATCACCATTTTTTCATAGAAGTGGTATCTTGCCCCTAGTACCCCACCCCCAAAATTTCAGACCCCAGGGTAGGGGACTTCGATGTCCTCGAGCCCGATGTTTATTCGTATAGTATTATATAGTAGGGCTAAAAACTAGAGGACCATATCTCGGAAACTAGAGATGGTACCATCACCATTTTTTCATACCAGTGGTATCTTGCCCCTAGTACCCCACCCCCAAAATTTCAGACCCCAGGGTAGGGGACTTCGATGTCCTCGAGCCCGATGTTTATTCGTATAGTATTATATAGTAGGGCTAAAAACTAGAGGACCATATCTCGGAAACTAGAGATGGTACCATCACCATTTTTTCATAGAAGTGGTATCTTGCCCCTAGTACCCCACCCCCAAAATTTCAGACCCCAGGGTAGGGGACTTCGATGTCCCCGAGCCCGATGTTTATTCGTATAGTATTATATAGTAGGGCTAAAAACTAGAGGACCATATCTCGGAAACTAGAGATGGTACCATCACCATTTTTTCATAGAAGTGGTATCTTGCCCCTAGTACCCCACCCCCAAAATTTCAGACCCCAGGGTAGGGGACTTCGATGTCCCCGAGCCCGATGTTTATACGTATAGTATTATATAGTAGAACTAAAAACTAGAGGACCATATCTCGGAAACTAGAGATGGTACCATCACCATTTTTTCATAGAAGTGGTATCTTGCCCCTAGTACCCCACCCCCAAAATTTCAGACCCCAGGGTAGGGGACTTCGATGTCCCCGAGCCCGATGTTTATTCGTATAGTATTATATAGTAGGGCTAAAAACTAGAGGACCATATCTCGGAAACTAGAGATGGTACCATCACCATTTTTTCATAGAAGTGGTATCTTGCCCCTAGTACCCCACCCCCAAAATTTCAGACCCCAGGGTAGGGGACTTCGATGTCCCCGAGCCCGATGTTTATTCGTATAGTATTATATAGTAGGGCTAAAAACTAGAGGACCATATCTCGGAAACTAGAGAGGGTACCATCACCATTTTTTCATAGAAGTGGTATCTTGCCCCTAGAACCCCACCCCCAAAATTTCAGACCCCAGGGTAGGGGACTTCGATGTCCTCGAGCCCGATGTTTATTCGTATAGTATTATATAGTAGGGCTAAAAACTAGAGGACCATATCTCGGAAACTAGAGATGGTACCATCACCATTTTTTCATAGAAGTGGTATCTTGCCCCTAGTACCCCACCCCCAAAATTTCAGACCCCAGGGTAGGGGACTTCGATGTCCTCGAGCCCGATGTTTATTCGTATAGTATTATATAGTAGGGCTAAAAACTAGAGGACCATATCTCGGAAACTAGAGATGGTACCATCACCATTTTTTCATAGAAGTGGTATCTTGCCCCTAGTACCCCACCCCCAAAATTTCAGACCCCAGGGTAGGGGACTTCGATGTCCCCGAGCCCGATGTTTATTCGTATAGTATTATATAGTAGGGCTAAAAACTAGAGGACCATATCTCGGAAACTAGAGATGGTACCATCACCATTTTTTCATAGAAGTGGTATCTTGCCCCTAGTACCCCACCCCCAAAATTTCAGACCCCAGGGTAGGGGACTTCTCTGTCCCCGAGCCCGATGTTTATTCGTATAGTATTATATAGTAGGGCTAAAAACTAGAGGACCATATCTCGGAAACTAGAGATGGTACCATCACCATTTTTTCATAGAAGTGGTATCTTGCCCCTAGTACCCCACCCCCAAAATTTCAGACCCCAGGGTAGGGGACTTCGATGTCCCCGAGCCCGATGTTTATTCGTATAGTATTATATAGTAGGGCTAAAAACTAGAGGACCATATCTCGGAAACTAGAGATGGTACCATCACCATTTTTTCATAGAAGTGGTATCTTGCCCCTAGTACCCTACCCCCAGAATTCCAGACCCCAGGGTAGGGGACTTCGATGTCCCCGAGCCCGATGTTTATTCGTATAGTCTTATATAGTAGGGCTAAAAACTAGAGGACCATATCTCGGAAACTAGAGATGGTACCATCACCATTTTTTCATAGAAGTGGTATCTTGCCCCTAGTACCCCACCCCCAAAATTTCAGACCCCAGGGTAGGGGACTTCGATGTCCCCGAGCCCGATGTTTATTCGTATAGTATTATATAGTAGGGCTAAAAACTAGAGGACCATATCTCGGAAACTAGAGATGGTACCATCACCATTTTTTCATAGAAGTGGTATCTTGCCCCTAGTACCCCACCCCCAAAATTTCAGACCCCAGGGTAGGGGACTTCGATGTCCCCGAGCCCGATGTTTATTCGTATAGTATTATATAGTAGGGCTAAAAACTAGAGGACCATATCTCGGAAACTAGAGATGGTACCATCACCATTTTTTCACAGAAGTGGTATCTTGCCCCTAGTACCCCACCCCCAAAATTTCAGTCCCCAGGGTAGGGGACTTCGATGTCCCCGAGCCCGATGTTTATTCGTATAGTATTATATAGTAGGGCTAAAAACTAGAGGACCATATCTCGGAAACTAGAGATGGTACCATCACCATTTTTTCATAGAAGTGGTATCTTGCCCCTAGTACCCCACCCCCAAAATTTCAGACCCCAGGGTAGGGGACTTCGATGTCCCCGAGCCCGATGTTTATTCGTATAGTATTATATAGTAGGGCTAAAAACTAGAGGACCATATCTCGGAAACTGGAGACGGTACCATCACCATTTTTTCACAGAAGTGGTATCTTGCCCCTAGTACCCCACCCCCAAAATTTCAGACCCCAGGGTAGGGGACTTAGATGTCCACGAGCCCGATGTTTATTCGTATAGTATTATATAGTAGGGCTAAAAACTATAGGACCATATCTCGTAAACTAGAGATGGTACCATCACTATTTTTTCCACAGAAGTGGTAACTGAGCCTAGTAACCCACCCCCAAAATTTCAGACCACACAGGGTATGTTTAAATTTTGAATTGCGAACTGCGTTCTAGAACGCAGTTCACTTTTGAATTGCGAATAGCGAACTGCGAATTGCGTTCTAAAATTTGAACGCCTAAATCTAGTCTAAGATATTTACGGAGTACTGTAATTATTATTTTGCTGATCCCTAAGCGTGATTCTGTAAAAGCAGAAAATTTCTCTTGTGATAAAATTTCGTTTATTACGATGTTAACAATCATCAACAAAATTAAATCCCTCACGAAATTTCATATGCCTATATATTGAACAGAGTAACTTTCGAAACAACGAAATTTAATCTCCATGAAACCGTTTAACAACAAATCAACGAAATTTGATCCGCACTAAAAATTTGTGTTTGTACAGTATTTCTCTGTTTTGGGGCAACATACCTTCATCTACCAGTATGCCGTATTTCAAACTTCTGTGAATTATATTCAAGTGACCTTAAAGTCTCTTTGGTCCTCTTCTTTAATTAAAAAAAGTGACTCAATATTTTGATATTAGAACATATAGAGAAAATATTTTGTTCTTCTTAAAGAATTTTATTTTCTTTATTTGATTTTAAAATATAGACCAAATTTCTATTTCAGAATAATAAAACATATCGAAAGAATATTGATATGGAAAGATAATTTTAATCAACCATCAATATGTAAGTTTGCTGTCCATAGCTGGCATAAATTATGTGTTTAAAGTATTCACAATGAATATATATGCAAAAAGGTTTGGAGAATGATGTTTTCTCAATTAATCCTTATAATTCTGCAATCTTGTCGTTCTGACCTCTTTTTGGATTGGAATATAACAAACTTGTTTAATAATATTTAATTTCACTCTTATTGTTTCGACCATTTCTTATTCCAAAAAAAAAAATTAATTGATACTGGTAAACATGTAAACCCGTGTTCATGTATAAAAAATATCGTATGTTAACAGCTGTCAAATTTCGATAATTTGATTTGAATGAAAATAACCTTAAAACCAGTTGTTTTTTTTCCGAAAAGGTTATGAATTGCGTTATCTTTATAATAAGATTGAAGATAATACAAATCATATCCTTTTTTGGGTGAAAGACACCTTAACACACATGTATGTTTGGATAATGAATTGCTTTTGAATGTACGTGAAACAAAGGGGTATATACAATTGGTCGAAACAGAAGATTCGTTTTCATTCATTTATTTATGTTTTAATTTTATATCTTGTTTTCCAAAAACATATACAATTATATCATTGTATAAGTTATGGTGCCGAACAAACAGCGCATGTTAATTCCCGTCCTTCAACATAAGGAGGGCACTTCAAAGATCCGCAACGCGCATCCACTGCATAGAAGAGGTAGCCATCTTGATTGCTACTGCCACCCGGTACACTATCTGGATTTCTGTCCACACACGTGTACATTGATCCAGCATTGTGTTTATGAAGACCGCCCATAAGGTAGCCATCATACTCTAACCGCCAACCTTTGTAACAGGATTTTCTGGCTACGAAAAAAATCATACAATTGAATATCATAATTGGGTGTGTAACTGTGAACTGTAAGAAAAAAATAAAGCTACGTATTTTTTATTTAGAACGTAAATAATAACTGTTAAGAGCCAAGCGATTAGCCGATAAACTATCAGAATAAGCTTCCTTTTTACGGGATACTTCTGGGTATATATGTATCCTTATTGATAACATTTTAGTGGTAAAAAAAAAAAGTTTCATAGAATTTTCTTTAAATGCTGTTTTATTACAAAATGAATGTAAAATATTAGAAATGCAACTTTAAGACGACATTTAAGTATTTTAAATTAAAACGTTATTCACTACATATGTACTTTACAAACAATGCAGATAGTTCAATTTTTTAAGGTCAAGTAAAGTAATACATGTATATGAGATTATTCTTATAAAATTATAAAGGTACACAATGCACGGAGGGTCAGATTGACTTTTTCTCATTTTGTCATTTTAAATTAAACAGAATTGTTTATTAACATTTTCCCCTTTCATTTGATGGTATCAGGAGTCTCATTTAAAGTGTTGATGTCACCTCTTATAATTTGGAGGTCCCGTGATTGCTCTGCTCTTATATGCTTTTGTATCAGCAAATGGAATTTTGAGCTTGAATATACTGTTCGTTATATCCATATGTTTCATGGTCTTGTTATTCAAAACTTTCAATGGTGGTTATATACATTTTACATGTAAAATGTACAAATTAAATGTTTTAAACAGGAGAATGTAATGTATATAAATAATTGGTACACCTTTTTTTGGCTTTAAACAGCGTTTGAGTTTAATTTCTCTTAAGGACCTTCAAGTAAAAACAAATAACATGCAAAAACTTAACGTTTGCTTTACCTGGAAAGACTCTTGCAATGGATTTATCTCGCAGAAGGCATACAGCACACGGTACATTCTCGTTGTGAAGCTTTGCTACTCTGTTATCAGGAATAGTTACTGTTTCATACTCCGCTCCATACATATAGGCACTCCATTCATCAACTCTGTCATTGTAAACTCCCCACTCAGGATCCGTTGGTAAACAAAGAGGGTTAACTGATGCACCTTTGTGAGTGTAGTATGATCCCCCAGCAAAGCCTGAAAAAAATATTTTATATTCTGAACAAACATTTGAAACGGAATACAAAAAATCTCGAAATCTAGCAAGCGTCTGTCTTGTCATAGCTATAAATGGTTTCAAAACAAGTAAAAACAAGATGTGTTTGTGAAACACTATGGGCTCGGCGGCAACAAATTAAAAAAAAAATATTTTGAGCATAAAGGTCACAGTGAAGGTCACAAGGTCATTGATCTTGGTGTCATTTGGAAGATCTTGATTAGTGAAGTATGCATACCAAATATCAAGTCTCTATCTTTCATGGTTCAAAAGTTATGTTGAAGGTTCAAAAAAGCTATTTTTAGCATACAAGACACAGTCAAGGTCACAAGGTCATTGACTTTGGTGTCATGTGAAAGGGCTGCATTAGTGGAGTATGCATGCCAAATATTAAGTCTCTACCTTTCTTCGTTCAAAAGTTATGGCGAAGGTTAAAGTTTGCCCTCAAAAAAGCTATATTTAGCGTTTAGGCCACAGTCAAGGTCACAAGGTCATTGACCATGGTGTCTTTAAAAGCGTTTTAGGTATACCAAATATGAAGTCTCTATCTTTTATGGTTCAAAAGTTATGGCAAAGGTTAAAGTTTGCAAAAAAACCTCTATTTTTAGCATATAGGTCACAGTCAAGGTCACAAGGTCATTGACCTTGGTGTCATTTGAAAGAGCTTTATTAGTGGAGTAGGCTTACCAAATATGAAGTCTCTATCATTCATGATTCAAAAGTTATGGCGAAGGTTAAAGTTTGCAGACAAACAGATAAACAGACAGACAGACAGACAGAAAGGACAAAAACAATATACGCCTCGGATCTTCCGATTCGGGCGCATAATTACAAACAGTGATCGATAAAAAAAAGTCTATAAAAACTGCGAACGATAGTATTGTTCTCCTGCCTACCTCCAAGTCAATTTTCAAAGTTATCAAATTCGATGAATTTAAAATATTTTTCATAGCAATTATATGGATTTTCATAAAACATTACTTATTTGGAAAAACAAAGAGAGGAAACTCTAAAATTTTGGTAATACTTGTGTTTTTCACTATAAAAATCAACGGAAAAAGGAAAATATTTTTAAAACATCCCCCCGCGACACAAAAATTCCTTTTTACAGTTATTATGGACTGTTATTTCACAAATTCGTACCAAAGCTTTTTTGTGTTTTGTGTGTCACATGGGGGGGGGGGGGGGGCATAAGTTTATTGACAAAAGAGACAAAAATGCTAAATTTCCACCGATTTCAAAGCGATTTACTTTTAATCACAACCAAGACTATTTCAAAAGATGATGATGCTTTAAAGTCCAATTTCCATGGAAAATATCGTCTACCCCCTTTTTCCAATAGCTTGATTTAGAAATAATTTACTATTAAGCGCTGGAATCAAGACAATTCATCAATTTCTATTGAACTATTCTTTGTATCAATCAAAGAATTTATGGCCAAATTGTCATTTATATTGAATTAAATGGTTGCAAAATGTAGGCGGGAATCGAGGGTTTGTGTGCGTAGTTCTTTAAACAAAACAGATCTAAAAGCGGGGCATAAACACAGATTCCCAGAAACTACAGACTATACCAGGCACCTTATTCATCAATGTATAGAACACTGTAGAAAATATAAGTACTTTATGCTTGTGCCCCTTCAATAAAACATCCCATGAATTTTTTTTCAAGTGATTTTAGTTGATAGTGCCCCCAACTATGTATGGCTGTGAGCCCCCCCCCCCCTCCCTTTGCTTCCTTCGGGCCTGAATGACTTTAAAATTCAGCTTAAACATTTTACAATTATCAATTTACCTGAATAAACAAGGTCAGCTGTTTTAGGACAACTTTTCTTTCCCCATCTCGTGTAGACAACACCACCTGATCCTGCACAAAATTAATAATATATGGATTTTTTTTTCTATTCTGGCATTTTCTTCAAACTAAACTAGTAGTAAACTAACAACTAACAAATAACAAGTAATGAAACTTAACAATTAGCCTTTCTAAAACGAATTTAGGTATTAAAAACCCAACAAAGAAAAAGAAACTCACATTGTAACACTAGCACTGGTTGAGAGGAATTAATTTTTTTTACGGAAAATACCACACAAATTATGAATATTAATTTTTTTTTTTTTGTATACACTTTTCTTACATTTAATGATTCGTGTTCTATTGTTAGTTTTAAAAAAAACAGATAATCTTAAGCTATGTATAACATAAAGAATACTGGTACACTAACAAAAGTAGGTAATAACTAGAGCAAAGCTCGTTGCAAAGCAACGAGAAGGTCTTCCATCCTGTTTTGACCGGAAGTGACGTCAGCAAAAAGAAAGCAATGAGCTTAGTCGTCCCCAGTCACTTAATAATTTCATTTTTGCATCAAAACATTAAATAATAAGCTTTTTTGGCTACTTCCGGTTTGACCGGAATTGATGTCGATGGACAGAAAATAAAGTTTTGTGCTTCTTATATGTTACCCAAAAACTTGTCAAGAACAGCAAAAATATGCATTTTCTGACTACTTCCGGTTTCACCGGAAGTGACGTCGCCGGACGCATATTGACGACTTCGTTAGATTAAGCTTGACATTTTGAACAACATTGCTTCTTGGATGTTTAACAAATTCTCAATACTTTTTGAGATATCTGGAAAAAACTTTTGGCCCGTCTAGATCCCTTAATTTAGGGGTCAGCCCTTTTTTCGAGATATCATTCAAAAGATCTTGTAATTCTGCACAAATTTTGTTCTATATGTTTTAACAAAATATTTTTAGTTTAGAAGATAAAAAGCAAAATATGTGTAAATTTTCGCTCTTTTAGGCGTTCTAATTTTTGACCCCTATATAGCACCATCTTGAATAGAGAAATTGAAAAACAAAAACCACTATGCACAACTTCAATCCTTCTATTATCTAAAATCAGTAGAATTTTTGCTCCAGCGTTAGCCGTTTCTGAGCCTTTGTCTGGAAACGAAAGCCTATAAATTTCCGTTTAAAGGGAAATAACTCAAAACCGGAAGTGACTTTTTGAAATTTTAGATAAGATTCTGATAGAGTTTAGTAACGTCTATCAACTCTAAAAATTTGAGCAAAATCCATCGAGAAATGAGTGAAATATGAGGCCTCAAAGTTGGCGTCTAGGAAAAGGAAAAAAAAAAGAATAATAAGAATAATCTTAATCATCAGAATCAGTAGAAGGTCTTCCGTTGGAAACGGAAGACCTTAATAAAGCTTTTGTGACACAGAAATAATTTGATATTGTCATCAAAGTGAAGATACATAAGTTAATTACTTACTTCCATTCTTTACATCAGATGTCACCTGTGCCTTGAATTCTTTCATAGATTGATCGGTCATCTGGGTAAATGTTTTAAATTCCCGCTTTAAAGCTTCAATCTGATGTATCCCAAGAACAGAAGATAGTTGTCCCGTCAGATAACCCTGTAGCATGTCTTTGCAGCTTTCGTTCTTTGTTTCCGCTTTAGAGGCGAGGACAAACAGAAATAAACAACCAAATAGCTTCATCATCTGTAACTTAAGACAACTTAAATGAATAGTTTTAAAAAGCTTCTTTGAAAAAATATTTTTAAAAATGAACAAAGCCCCTATTTTCACAAATTGAGATTGAAACAAGATGTGCATATGTGAAACACTGTGCTTTCGGTGGCAACAAATTTCGAAATAGCTATTTTTTTTTTAATATAGATCACAGTCAAAGTCACAAATCCATTGAGCTTGATATCATTTAAAAGAACTTTTATTTAGTGGAGTATGCATGTCAAACATGAAGTCTCTAGCTCCCATCGTTCAAAAGTTATCGAGAAAGTTAGAAAAAGCTTTCTAAGCATATAAGTCACTTTCAAGGTCACAAAGCCATTAACCTTGATATCATTTTAAAGAGATTAATTAGTGGAGTATGCGTATTATATATGAAGTCTCTATCTTTTACGGATCAGAAGTTGACAACTGACAGACAAACAGATAAACATTTAAACAGACATGCAAACAGGACAACAATAATATACGCCCCCATCTATCGATCCGGGCGAATAAGAATTACTAATGACTTCCTTACCTTGAACAGTGTCATGTCTCTTTTGTTTCAAGCAGAGCCGATGTGGTTTAAATACATTGAAATATGCAACACGATACGTGTGCTCACAACCTCTTAGTCACGAAAAACAAAAATTATTGTCATGAACATATTATTGTTAGGTATATAAGATGGCAAAGTTTGGTAATGGACTTTTTTTTACTTAAATCCATAATGAAGTCAGAATTTCTTGTAGGATAAACATTTAGAGATTTGAAGTTAATAAATTAAAGATAATATTCTTGCTGCAGTCACGTCTTATTATAGGAGGGTTTAATTTGAAAGGAGTATTAAGTTATCCAGCTTTGCCTCAAAAATACACGCTCTGTAAAATTAGACTAACAACTGCATAGAAATTATCCTTAATAAGAGACCCATGGAAATCATTGTTCACATTAGCATTTTGGTTAAACACAATCAATAATCAGTTTATTACTAAAAAGGTTAAATATATTAGTTTTTCTCCTTATTCTAACTGTTGATGAATAAAAATACTTCCATATTAATATAAAATTTGGATGATGTTTTTTTTTCTGTTCTTGACAAGATTTCTTTATATTCATGATCATATTTATAAATTTGATTGCCTTATGAAGTCTCATCTTCGCAAGGTTGTAAATATTTGAAAAAAATTGAACCCTTGCTGTTCTTGATGGGGAGGTTAAGAAAAATTCTCATGTACGCCCTTTACCAGGCATCATGATTTGAACAAACTCGAAACTACATTATCAGGTGACCATTTTAAATATATTTTGCATGTGTTCTCGTGTATAACTTTAATTCCCTGTTTTGACCCGATCCTATCCTCATCAATTGGATACACAATATCTGATGATGCGTCTCTTTTATAATAGTACTTATCATAGCTTTGTAAATAATACAAAATGTTCCTGTGCATAAATTTGTATTCAAGTTGTGGTCCCAGTGGCCACAAGTTGAAAAAAAAACGTGACTCTACATTATGTAGTAATGCTATTTTCATTTCTTATGTTTTCTATGCAAAATTGTAAACCTTCTATAACCCATAATCACTCTTTATCTGCCCTCTTTATACTATACCTTTGAGACGTTCTATACAATATTGAAGCATCAGAGGTCAAAATATGCATGATATTTCTGTTACTAATATTAAATTAAACACAGTCCATTTTTCTGTGAATTTTCTTTTAAGTCGTTACGGCATTACTTTGTACTTGTAGTTAGTCTTCCTGAAATCATTTTTATCTGAGAACTGGGGTGGGGATTATAACTTTCAATAATCAATAATAAAGAAAAAATGCAACGCTATCTAGTTAGAGACTTGTAATGTAGATATGGATAATGGACTATTAAATTAATAGCTGTTATTTATATGCAATAAAGTCATTAACATAACTTCATATAAACCTTTAATATTTAATGCTAATCATAGATCGATATTACGAAAAAAGTAAAACACAAAAAAATCTAGAATCTACTGGTACTCTAATTCATCAATTTAGTTTTCCAATACATTTTCATTACAAATTTACAAATACATTATTGATGCTACAATCATAAGTTTAAAGACTTTAAACAGAACAAACAGCGCACGTCAACTCTCGTCCCTGTACATAAGGAGGGCATTTCAAAGATCCACATTGTGCTTCCACTGCATAGAAGAGGTAGCCATTATGATTAGAATGGCCTCCAAATACAGTATCTGGATTTTCGTCGATGCATGTATACATTGTACCGGCATTGTGTCCATAGTACCCTGCCATAAGGTAACCACTGTACTCTAACCTCCAACCTCTGTAGCAGGATTTCCTAGCTGTAAATATGCCAGGTATTTCTGTGATCAATTTATATCTATAAACAATACAAATATGTGAAGAGAGCATCAAAACGGACCCTTAGTAATCACACATGTGCGATCAAGTTGCTTGGAGGATTGAGCATTCCATTGAAACGAAATTTCATAAGTCGAATTAAGTTTCAAAACAAAAAAACCTAACAACTGATCTGCAACAAATCAGTCAAAATACGACCCAATGATAGGATATATTTGCGAACAAGGTCATTTATATAACAATGATACAATTTATGAAATGCCGAATTAAAACCAAGTTTGTTGAAAACCCTGCAGCATCAACTTACATGTATCAGTGAGTAGCATGCTTAGCATAAAGATTGAACATACTCAGAGCAAGCTCTTCAATAGGAAATGAGTTGAGAGACATAAACGCCATAAGCAGATGCAAATGATATATTACTACATACATAGGGAAGTTGACGATGGAAAAGCTGATGGAAATGATGAAGTCATCTCGTTTGCCATACAATTTAGTTCGTATTTCAATATATGGCTTTATTGTATATAGTCGGTAAAACATCCTAATTTGAGACAAATGTGACAGACTATGCGGTTTTTTTTTAATTTCAAGTTAACAGCGATATACGAGGGCTGTTCGGAAATTATTGAGACATTTACTGTAACTCTATAAAGAGCAGAGATAAATTAAGGAAAATTCGTCAACATTTTAGAATGAAAGAATAAAAGAAATATGCAAAATTTCTAATTCATAGGATAATTACATAAGTTCTGGTGAAATTAAAAACATGCAAATGTTTATCGACCTGGAGCAGCATCGCTACGTCGTTTTAACGTCATGTCAATCGGAGATGTTTAGCATCTGAAACAATCCGGAGATGTCGGCTTTTTTTCTTCGTTATCATGTATAGTATTGCAGAAATCAAACTTTATCTTTTCTTAAACGATTTTTTTTAAATATGTGCTGTTGCTTCGTCATTGTTAACTTTTTATTTGTCATATATATGCAGGATGACTTTGCATCATGTAGTGCCGATTTACGCAACGCGGGTCAACGCTATTGATCCTGTTAGGTCAAAATTGATAGTCGTCTGGAGCTTTTTATTTTACTGTGGTTGAATCATTGGTCAGAAAAAATATAAACCAATGAAATAAAACTCTTTTAACATTTTTTGCAGTATTGTTTTTATTGTTTGATCGGGTTGGTCAGTCTGGAAGAGTTTTAGATAGCGCTAGACAGAATTATAAGTCTCTCGTTGCTCAGCCTTGACGTCAAAATTCATCTTTTCTTCGGTATCAGAATTCTTGATTGCGCCTAATTTTTTAAATGATCTCCGTATCTCTGATCAGAATTCTAACAAACTTATACAGCGTGCAGTTAAAATAAAATTGAAAAATTATAAACATAAATTGAATTATTATCGCCTTTATTATGGGTCCACCTTGGGTTTGAACTTTGTTGTTACATATTTTCAAAATCTGATTTCGTGACTGCTCCGGGTACCCCTACCATTGACATATTTATCGACCACTGAAGATAAGAAATTTAATATTTGTAAAATATTTTTTGCTTTTACGAATTCTTGGTGTTTGTCAAACGTATATGCGAATTTTCACCGAAAGACGTTCATTTAAAAGAAATTTATCCACAATGTCTCAATAATTTCCGAATAGCCCTCGTATATTAAATCGAAATAACTATAACTATTTTTACTTTATATTTAAACCATAATCGTCAATACATCGGAATATCGAGTTGAAGGCCACAGAAAGTATTTTCCTATTCTCAAGTTGAAGATTTTTTTTAAACATTCTGATTTATAGAATTAAGAAACAGGTTAGTTTTAAAGGAGCACACTTTGTACCCATTGGAATTCAAACAAATTTTTGGAATACATGACCTCTGAAGACTAATGTTTTTAATTATGAGCTTGCAATATTACCTGGGAAAACTTTTGACAGGGATTTACCACGCAGAAGACATACAGCACATGGTACATCGTGCTCCAAAAGATTTAATTTGTTATTGTGTAGCACTTCTTCATATTCTGCACCATAGACGTAAGCCCTGTAAGAGTCAGTTCCATCCTTGTATTTACCCCATTCGGGATTTTTTGGTAGACAGAGAGGATCAACTGCTGCACCGGTGTGAGTGTAGTGTGAGCCACCAACAAATCCTTTTGGTGGAAAAAAGGTGAAATAACGAATAGTGATCAAACTCATAAATCTAGTAAATAAAACGAATTGTGAACAGGGCGTAACGATGGACCTTGTCGAGTGGTTATAAAATCCACCGTGAGCCTCATGTATTGATCATTCAGAAGGAGAGCATCTTAGATAAATTTGAATAAAAGCAATGACTTTACAAATGGTTAGAAAAATGTCAAAAACTATAACCCAAAGATAGTTTTTATCTAGAAACAAAGTTCCAAAAAGATCGTGCTCTTTACAAAAGTACGAAGGGTTATCAAAAAGTTCGTGGACTGAGGCTATAAAATTAGTACTATGTAGTATGAGCTTACAAAATTTATATGGAGCATAAAACAACAAAATATAAAGAAACGTTGAAAATTTTAGCTTGATACGTTCTTTATTCCCCAAGTTATTATAAAATGGAAACGACATTATATCAGCACCCGGCGCCGTCGCCGTTTAGTTTTATGACGTCAGACAACGTCATTGTTTTTCAATGTCTGCTTCTTCTACTTCATACACTTATTTTGATGAGATTTCCTGGAGCTGAGTAAGGACTTCAGTTCGTATTGTTAATATGACTTTACAATGCCACGAACAGCGGCTTTCAACGCATATACTATTGCAAATGGATGTATACAATGGCAGGGATCCTCGCTTGATTGTGCCAGCATATTTTGCTTTTTGCTTTTTTGGAGTTCAATATCTACAACACATGATCAACGTAATTTTTTTGACGTGATTGATTTTTCACACCTTGACTACAAATCGACATAAACTGTGCATTCCTTTTCTCTTTGAAAATATTTTGGTATTTAAGAACAAGAAATCTGGATGCAGATTATTTCTCCTTAGCCAGTTTAAACATTTCCTGGGTGTATACCACTTTTTCCAGGGGGCAAAACTTTATAGAATGCATGTTGGTGAAGGAAACCCCTCCCCCCTTTTGACGTCATTTTCAAGGCAATATTTGTTTGGATACTCCATGTAAAACTTACGATAAAATTTCATAGAAATTCTAGAATGAGGTAAAAATTTAATATTTTATGAAACAAAAGTGTCCCAACATATACCTTAATTAACGGGATTTTTGGAGGTCAAATTTTCATATCACAGTAGTTTTTCTTAGTTACACTTAGATCGAAAAAAACGTCATTTTCGAGGTTGCGCCGCATGGACATACCATTGCTTACAAAAACATTACTAATTTATTAAAAAATTAAATTTATGATTTGTAATTTATTCTATAGATAGAAAATATGATGATAACTAGATATTTTAAAATTCATTCATGTACCTAAAGCGGTTTTAATTTTATGGCGCTAGTCCACGAACTTTTTGATAGCCCCTCGTAAGCCGATTTTAAAGGTACTTGGACACAGATTTGAAATTAATATTTTCTCATTTTTTCTCTATAATATCACGAATTATATATTTTAATAGCATTTCACACAAAAATTAATTAAAAATCTTATTTCATTTAAAAGTTATAAAAACTTTAAATTTTTTTGGCGGGTTTGATTGACACATCCTTGCACTTTCACAAATTTTAACTTTATTCTTAATCCTTAGGAAAAGTGGCAATTTTGATGTGTTTTAATGAGAAATATTAAAACTTTTATCAAGAAAAATAATTTTATTCAGAGTAGAAAGGTTAGAAAGCAAAACACCTTCACAAGTATCGTCATTCCGAACTAAGAGATGCGTACAGAGTTTAGCGAATCGAGCACACTCTTGTTACGTACACAGTTTTTGTAAACAGGGCTCGAGTTCTGTTATTGTTTATATTTAGAATTCACCGGGTGCGTTCAATCGTCACAGTCTGCTTACCACAACTGCACGGACTGACAATATATTGTGTGTTTGTTTTGCTTTCGAACGTGTCTACTCTGAATTTTCTGGATTATAGTATTAATATTTTTCATTTATACAAAACGAGATTGCCACTTTTCCTAAGGATTAAGAATAAAATTAATTTGTGAGAGTGCAAGGATATGTCAATCAAACCCGCCGAAAAATTTGAAATTTCAATATCTTTTAAACGAAATAAGATTTTGAATTAATTTTTGTGTGAAATGCTATTAAAATATATAAGTCGTAACATTATAGAGAAAATAATAACTTCAAATCTGTGTCCAAGTACCTTTAAACGAGGTAGTTGAAATCCTTGCAATAATAATTCCTAAAGTTGTCTTTCGGTTGTTTGCCTCAGTTTAAAGTAAATGGTATTTAAAACATTAGTTCTTACGTACCAAATCAATCGGAAGACATAATAAACACAATGTTCAGATGATACAGGAAATAGCAAACAGGAAATAGAAACACATGCAAACCTGAATAGACCAGTTCAGCCGTTGAGGGACAACTTTTCTTTCCCCATCTGGTGTAAACAGCATTTACATTCACCTTTTGACTTTCTATGTAAAAATTATATAGATGTTTTAAAACTAAAAGATTATGTAAGATTTTTGAGTATTTCCTGCAAGGAGAATTTTTTAGGGAAAAATAGTATCATTAAAGGTACTTGGACACAGATTTGAAGTTATTATTTTCTCTATAATATTACGACTTATATATTTTAATAGCATTTCACACAAAAATTAATTTAAAATCTTATTTCGTTTAAAAGATATTGAAATTTCAAATTTTTCGGCGGGTTTGATTGACATATCCTTGCACTCTCACAAATTTAATTTTATTCTTAATCCTTAGGAAAAGTGGCAATCTCGTTTTGTATAAATGAAAAATATTAATACTATAATCCAGAAAATTCAGAGTAGACACGTTCGAAAGCAAAACAAACACACAATATATTGTCAGTCCGTGCAGTTGTGGTAAGCAGACTGTGACGATTGAACGCACCCGGTGAATTCTAAATATAAACAATAACTGAACTCGAGCCCTGTTTACAAAAACTGTGTACGTAACACGAGTGTGCTCGATTTGCTAAACTCTGTACGCATCTCTTAGTTCGGAATGACGATACTTGTGAAAGTGTTTTGCTTTCTAACCTTTCTACTCTGAATAAAATTATTTTTCTTGATAAAAGTTTTAATATTTCTCATTAAAACACATCAAAATTGCCACTTTTCCTAAGGATTAAGAATAAAGTTAAAATCTGTGAAAGTGCAAGGATGTGTCAATCAAACCCGCCAAAAAATTAAAAGTTTTAATAACTTTTAAATGAAATAAGATTTTTAATTAATTTTTGTGTGAAATGCTATTAAAATATATAATTCGTGATATTTTACAGAAAAAATGAGAAAATATTAACTTCAAATCTGTGTCCAAGTACCCTTAAATGATCAGAAAAAAATAAACGTTAACGGTCCGTGTACCACTTCGCAATTAAAATTTCTAAATTGATTTAGAGTTTGAGGATTTTGAAATTTTAGTTCAAAATTCTAAATTTCAAAAACTCAATCTGATTTTGTTTATTGAACTTAAGGTAGGATTTTTCTCAGGTTTCCGACTAGGTGATAATTTAAAGTACATTAAATTTTGCTTACATGTTTAATGTACATGTATTTAGGTGTAAGAGATTTTAAAGATCATATTTTTCATTCCTCATCACAATTGTACGATTTTGAATAGAAATGGTAAACTGCGTTTGAAAACTAGCAGGGACTATTTTTTGGCGGAATGATGGCGTATGAAAATATCCTTCCTACTTCTCAAAATTATTATAGAACAATGAATATAGTTATAATTTTTACGCAATTAAAGAATTCAATAACTTTTCAAATGTAAGTTCAATTAATGACAAGGGACTAAATTTTTTAAATAATAATATGATTTTTTTAAACAAACTAGAACTGGGTTAGCTTTTATAAGCTTCCAATCTGAGTACAGATTTGAGTCAAAAAACCATAACAAGTATTTTTTCTTTCTTCGTAAACGATCAAAACTTATTGCTTTTGTATCATTTTGTATCTTTATGTGACAATTTTACCATATGTAAAAATGAGAAAAATTTAAATATAAGAAGCATGCAAAAATAACTTACATATCCCTAAATTTTAAGAAAAGTAGAGAAAATTCGGATTATTCGGAAAATTCGGCCAATACCCATTTTAATTAAATTATTTGTGTCAATTTGGTAATATCATCTTATAGGCCCTGCATGGTAGTATCTTTTTATGCAAAAAGAAAAACATTCAATCTTTTGAAATACAAGTAGGGATCGCATAGTTGGCAACAGAATTTTTTTTATTATTAATGTCAAGGAAAAAGGTTATCATCTTGACCTGACCTTGTCTCTTATATAAAACGGTCAAAGAACTATATGCGGTATATTGCATATATTTGCCCCCACAAAAGTCAAATTTTAAAAACTTCCTGAAATGTGCTAAATTCAATAAATTGTATGAGAAATATAACTTAACAGAAAATATTATAGTGTCAAAGCAGTGTATTCACAATTTTTGTTTTTATGACGTCACATAATAGTCCGATTTTATATCCTTTTTCAGAAAGAGGACAAAATAGACAAAATTTCAACAATTTTAGCTTTAAAATTAATAGAGCGCAAGTTTGTTCAGGAACAATATTGACATATTTCATTGATATTATCATTCTACACATTATATCAAAATATTGATCCTGAACACACATGCGCTCGGTGACTTTTACTCAAAATATCGACGAAATATGTACATTTTTCTGTAAAATTCATAAAAAACTGAAATTTACGTCATGTTTGTGACGTCATTACGTACATATGGCGTCATTACTTAAGAAAATATTCAGTGCTTTGAAGTCAACATATACCCCTCTGTTTAAGAACTTAATTATATATGTCTCCATCAAAGTTTGATTTTGGGGGAAAATATTGGTTATTACCGAATAAAGTTCTTTAATTTCACTGATACCATCTGAGTATTTTGTCTTCTTGAATCTATGAAAATTTCATTTATTTTTTAAATACAAGAAATATGAGAAAAATCCTAGCTTAAAATATCCAGATGGGTTTCAAGTTTTCAGATTTTACCTTATATATTCAAAGTTCAACTTTCCAAAAACGAATTTTGGATTTTAAACTTTTGACTTATAAATCTATTGCTTGTTTAGAAAGTTAACGCTTAACAATTTGAAATCAATACTATTTTTACGCATATGGATAATGTCATTCAAACTTCTAGATTTCAACTTTAAAATGTTTGAGATTTTTAGAAATTTAGAACTTTGATCCAAATGCTCAAATCTTATAGATTCCAGAACATTTTCAATTAAAATATAAATTGGGTTTGGATTAGATATTTGATGTTTTGGGTATTTCAAGTAAAATTCTAACAAACACATTCAAAGAAATGTGGTCCCCCGCTTTCGTTGTCTTTGTGGGTGAGATATTTTTATGACATATTGTGTCAAATATGAGGCCCTATCACATTATCACTGAAGTTGATTTTTTTTCAAAATATAAGGTCAATCATGAAGGTCAAGTTCAAGGGGTCAGAAATCATAGCATGCTCGGAAAAATCTTGTCACATGTCAAATATGAAAGCCCTTCCTCTTCTCAATATAAAACACTGATGACCCCGTATGGCAACATAGCGAAGATTTAACTTTTCTTAAATGCAAATTAAATATATTATTACACAATGTAGGCTCTTCTCATAAGAAATACAACTGTGAAATACAAAATCCCTAGCACAATCTTTTCAAAAGTTATGGCCAAGGCTGAATTTTTTAAAGGTAGGTCAAACTCTAAGGTCAAAGTTGTTGGTTTCTTAAGAAAGGTCTTGTCACAAGTAGTGCATATGTGAAGGATGAAAACCCTAACCTTGACCGTTCAAAAGTTATGGCCAAATAGTGAAGGTTAATTTTTATAATCTCCAAGGCCAAGGTCAAAAGGTAAAAGTTGTTGGTATCAAATGAAAGGTCTTGCCACAAAGAATACATATGTGAAATATGAAAGACTAGTATATACCATTTAAAGTTATGGCCAAAGTGAAATTTTTAGAATTTTTGTGTAAAAGTGGTTCAAATTCCAAGGTCAAAAGGTCAAATTTGATGGTATCCAAAGAAAGGTCTTGTCACAAGAAATATACATGTGGAATATGAAAGTCATAGCTCCACTAAATCAAAAGTTATGAGCAAGGTTAAATTTTTTGTGAAGGGCGGACGGACTGACAGACAGACGAATGAGATTTAATGTCCCCTCGCTTTCGCAAAAGTGGGGGACAAGAACTCAGTGTATTGAAATGTGAAATTCAGAAGTTTGAAGTTAATTTCAAAATTTAAATTGAGTAATAACTTCATTTGTCTATTTAGAACATTTTTTTATCTACCATATTGCACTTTTTATTGAGTAAACGTCATCCTTAAAATTGGACCGAAGTCCTGCTTGTTGCTACAGCAACGATTCCTCAATTTATTATTATATTTTTGAGAGAGATTCAGAAAGTCCGAAGACTCTTAAAAAAAGGTGTTCAAAGACTATATTATGTCAAATTTTCTTCGTAAAAACACAAAAAATACACCCATGTCTTTGCAGGTTTTCGAAGAAAAAATGTTTAATTTCATACTTTGAATATAATCTACAGAGGAATTGCTTACCAGTACTTTTATTTCTCAAATCAGTTTTAACCTGCTCCTTGAACTCTGCTATAGATTTTTCTGTTAGTTCAGTAAAACTTTTAAATTCCCGCTTTAAGGCTTCTATCTGGTAAGATCCAAGAACGGATGACAGCTGTCCCGTTAAAAAATTCTGTAGAATATCTTTACAACTTTCGTTTTTTGTGTGCGCTTTAGAAGTGTACACCAGCAGGGTTATGCAAACGAAATACTTCATCTATCAATGGAAATAATCGATATAAAAAAGATTGTACACCTTTAAACTGAGTACATGTATGCTAATTACATGTATAAGTAAGCATTCAGATTTCCATTTTTTATTTCAAATTTACATTTAAATGAAGAAATTTCATATTTTCGATGTGTTTGAAATATGAATATTTATGTCAAATTGAAACACAATGAAATTCATTTGCATAAAAACTGCTATATACAGTCGAAATTCCTTTTAAATTCGCCCAATTTCATTTCTGTTTAAGAAATTATAGACTGCTTTATTTGACCCCCCCCCCCCCCCCCGTTTTAAATTCACCCAGCTATTGGAAGGGTAATTGGGGCGAAAATAAAACGCGGGGACTAAAATTTCCCAATTACAATATATATTCAAGTAAATATGATTCTTTTCAGTATCATATCAATAAGATTTTATTAGAATAAAAAAGATGAAAAGAAAAGAAATTCATCTTCTAAAATAAATATTTCCTTACCATGCTTCTCCGTGCCGTATTGAATTTTCCGTTTAAAATGAAATATATATTCTGTCATTTTGAGCATAATTTATATGAAATATAACTTATATTTAAAGTAATCTCAACCTTCACTAAACATCACCATCTGGGGAATACACCACGGATAAGTACATTCTTGAAAAAAATTCTTGACGGTAAATTATAATTTCGCCTTCGCCGAGATAAAAAAAAAATACTCATCCGTCATGATTTATTAGAAAGACAATACACTTATACCGTCTGTGACTAAACATTCGAATTCATAAAAAACTTGAATACTAAATCTGTTACAACAGTATCTGTAGAGTGTGGAAGTAAAAACTAGCAGAACTTAACGTTTGTATCAACACTGTCACAAAAGTACCATAAAACAACTGAAGTTCATTAATTTAAAATAACTTTTTAAATAGTTCATATAATTTCGTTAAATTATTTTAAAACCCTTTTGAGTTGCAGGCAACTTTCAAAATGCATGTTTATGTATCTAATGTAACCGTGTTATATTGTTTTTAATCTAAAATAGAGCACTGATCGAGCTCACTAAATTTCGACTCCCTGTCATATAGATTGTGTTTTGCTCTAGGAGACACGAAATGTGTGTCGGATCAGAAAGTAAAAAAGGGGGTTCACAATGGCACTATGTAACAAGAATTTGTAAAAGTATCATTACATTTTATTCAGTGGTAAAAGAGGAGTTATTGATAAGAGATGAGTCCCCCAAAGCGTTACAGACGGACAGGCAAACGTACAGACAGACGGACGGCCGCACAGCTAGCCGGACGGACATCCCGATCACTATATACCCCCACACGTTTCAAGCTGGTATATAATAAATACACTGCTTTACAATGGACGTCAAGAGACAACCCCCTTCCCTGTGGATATTGATCGGCCGTATTCCTCAGAGGACATAAATCACATTTTATATGAAGATTTGAAGCTGTCGTATAATATGCAACTCTTCTCTAAAGAAGAGGTGGTCGAGGGGAAGCACATTTTAATATCTAAAAGAATAGGAGGACTTCTTGCAGGTACTGAAATCATATAATTAGACTCCCAAACTTTCTGTTAATAACGCACAGTGGTCGACATACAATATGCAAAGTTATACCAAAAAGTACTGAAAATTACTCTTTAAAAGCCGATATATATTTTATATAGCAAATACAAAAAAAATCTTTATCTTATAATTCAAACAGAATAAGTTCTTTTCAAGTATTTCAATAGAAACCATAATTATAACTGTTATACATGTAATTATTCTCAGGTATCTTTATTTTTACTTATATATGTTTTGAACAATCATGGTGCAGAACAAACAGCAAATGTGAGTTCTCGTCCTTCTACGTAGGGCGGACAGTTCAGCGACCCACAGCGAGACTCCACTGGATAGAAGAGGTAGCCATTATGGTTCGCATGGCCCCCAGCAACAGTATCAGGATGTTTGTCAATACAAGTATACATTGTACCAGCATTACTCCCATGATACCCTGACATAAGGTAACCTTTGTACTCTAACCTCCAACCTCTGTAGCAGGATTTTCTTGCTAAGGAAAGTATCTACTATTATTGTTACAATTACTGTTTTTAAAGTATGTGATTCATGCTTTATATGTATTTAAGTATTTTTTTTCTTTACTTCATAACACCCCTTTTCATCAGAGTATCAGATTACAATTACATGGACTATCGATGGCAATTTTTAAAAGACAGTTATTCAAAGACAGAAATCAAATACCTGGAAAAACTGCTGTTGTTGATTTATCTCTCAGAAGACAAACAGCACATGGTACATTGTGATTGTAAAGTTTAGCAAAATGTCCATCATGCGTTTCATATTCAGAGCCATACACATATCCTCTCCAAGTTTCAACTTTATCCTTATATCTCTCCCACTCAGGATTCCTTGGCAAACAAAGAGGGTCTACTGCTGCTCCTGGATCGGAGTAGTGTGAACCACCTACGTAACTTGTTGAAATAAAGCTCTTTTAAGATAATGTCGCTTTATTGGGAATAAACTTCGGTGTTTTTTGGCAGTTTATTCTTGAGAATTTAATTCGCTAGCTTATTTTCATTACCTGGTAAATATTAATAATTTCTTGTCTCCAAACAATCGCTGTACCTTTAGTATTCTCATTGTTACAGCATTTTTATTTCAAAAGTTATGATAAAAATCAAATAAGACATTCTTGAGAAGTTGAAAATGTTAAAAAAAAAAAAACAGATGGCAAAGGTCTAAGAAACTCTGGAAATAAATAAACATCCCATCCATCAACGTTAGCTCATCCCCACTCTAAAAAAATAACATATCGCTTTTATACATACCTGAATGGACAAGCTGAGCTGTCGAGGGACAATTTTTCTTTCCCCATCTTACATAAACAGCGCCACTCCTTCGATCTACGTGATAACTAATTATTATTTAATATTCTACTGCATACACATATTTATAATTTATCTTTAGATTAGTTTTTGGATTCTTTTTTAAATCCAAATAATTTAGGCTTATCAAGGATGAGAGAAATAGAAGAAAAAA